AGAGTACCCATGTGGTTGCCCATCCTGCTCCCGATGGCCGTTGAGGGCATGGCGTGGCTGAGAACGCACCGCTGCTGCTGCCCGTCCTGCCACAGATGGCTGGGGAGGGTCCTCTGGGGTTGAAAACTCTGCGTCGCCGGCCATTTTGCCATTGCTGGCTTTTGAGGCCACAGGATTGCTGGAGCGATGGCACTGGTGCCCGTGGTGGCTTGTGAGGACATATAGTTGCTGAGGAAATATTGTTGCTGGCCATCTTGGGTAGTGAGGACACATCGTTGGGAGAAGATAGCATTTCCATTGGTCTTAGGTGGCAGGGGCGCCTTTCGCTGGCAGAGGTCTTGTAGCATCTTAGGCATGAAATCCTTAGAAGGGTACTTTGCCTGCTTCGTTGCCCCATTCCTCCGCTGCTGCTTTTTTGGCGGTTGTCGCTGCTTCTTCTGTTTCTGTTTCGTTCTTCTCTGAGGTGGCATCTTCTTTCGACTATGAGCAGCAGCCATTTTTTCCAGGTATCTATTCCTGTGCCCACCTTAATGATGAATGCCTCCAGGCTGTTTCTACCCCTGTTGCCATATACCAGCTCACATTCAAATGAGGGCCAACTCTTTGCCCTTTGATTGGCTAGAACAGTATCCTGTTTTGTGATGCAACAGTGGTGCCTAGGCAACCAAATGGGACTTCACAATGTGCCTTGTGAGCAGTTTCTCCTTCCCATATGTACATGATGGAGACATCATCATCATCATCATCATCATCATCTTTTAATTTTTTTAAATTTTTATTATTATTAAAATGTCAGTTAAAAACATTTATAAAATGTATATTATAAAAACAGTGACTGTTACATAGTAGATACAAGTTTTATGAAAAAAGGCTAAGTATCTGTTAAATACTGTTGCAGTATATATACTGTTCATTGTTAGTGTTATATTTAAAATATTATTTTATTTAAAATATTTTTACCCCCTCTTTCTTCAGAAGAAGAACCTAAGGTGGCTTGCATCATTAAATGACAATATTTAAAACTAAAAAGAGTAAGAATACAAATGCTTAAAAGAACCAGAAATGCCAGACTAAAGACAGTTAACATAACTTAACACCAAAACCACATTCAGAGTAGTAAGGCACAGCCATCCACTTAAAAACTCCACTCAGGCAGCCAGTCATTAAGGGAAACCTTGCCGGAAAAGAAAAGTCTTTACTTGTGAAAGGAAAGCGAAGATGGAACCGGCTTGGCCTCCTTTGGGAGGGAGTTCCCAAGTCTGGAAGTAGACTTGTTTATTGGCCATGGAAGGAAGGAAAATCAAAGAGAACATATTAATATATACGGATTATATATTACAGTGGGGTCTCTACTTAAGAACGTCCCTACTTAAGAACAATCCAACTTAAGAACAGCTCCATTTGCTAAATTTTGCTTCTACTTGAGAACAGAAATCCAAGATAAGAACAGGAAAAAAACCTTTCCTGCTCTTTTTTTAACCTTAGGTAATCTTAGGTTAAAAAAATTCCTCCCCCTAGTGGTAGAGTATGTATTAACCAGCTTTGCATTAGTTCCTATGGGAACTAATGCTTCAATGTACGAACGCACCTCTACATAACAAAAAAACAGCCAGAACGGATTAATTAGTTTTCAGTCCATTCCTATGGGAAATTTTGCTTCAACTTAAGAATGTTTCAACTTAAGAACACCATTCCAAAACGGATTAAGTTCTTAAGTAGAGGTTCCACTGTAGTTTCTATGGACGGAAAAGAGCAGATACGGATTAAATGGTTTTCAATGCATTCCTATGGGAAATGCAGACTCAACATAAGAACTTTTCAACTTGAGAACCACCTTACAATACGGATTAAGTTCTTAAGTAGAGACCCCACTGTATCCTTTATTGTGGCTTCAGAAGTGAACTTCCCTCCCTTTCCCACTAGGGCAATGGTTCCCAACTTTGCGTAACCAAGATGCTTGTTGTTTAGTTAAGTCAGTGTCCGACTCTTTGTGACCCCAAACCAAGATGTTCTTGGACTACAACTCCCAGAAACCCCAGCCAGCACAGCTAGTGGTGAAGGCTTCTGGGAGTTGTAGTCCAAGAACATCTTGGGTATGAGAAGGAGCAAGTTTTCATCAGAAAAAAGGAGAGTGAGCCATCCCCTCACACTCCCACCATGGAGGCTTACAAAACTGTTTATACTGTTACCAGTGGTGGCGCAATTGGGGATAAAAGAGAAAAAGAGTAGGAAAGGAGAGAAGAAAAAGGGCAGGAGAACCACAGTTGAAGGAGAAACACCAACAGAAGAAGGGTATCTGGTAACAGAGGTGGAGGAAAAGGTAAAAGGAGAGGTAGACTGGCAGACAGGGATAGAACGAGGAGAAAAAAAGGGAAGAGTGAGGAGAAGGAAGGAGATATAACCTTAGGGTGGGGTTGACTGTATCCTTTATTGTGGCTTCAGAAGTGAACTTCCCTCCCTTTCCCACTAGGGCAATGGTTCCCAACTTTGCGTAACCAAGATGCTTGTTGTTTAGTTAAGTCAGTGTCCGACTCTTTGTGACCCCAAACCAAGATGTTCTTGGACTACAACTCCCAGAAACCCCAGCCAGCACAGCTAGTGGTGAAGGCTTCTGGGAGTTGTAGTCCAAGAACATCTTGGGTATGAGAAGGAGCAAGTTTTCATCAGAAAAAAGGAGAGTGAGCCATCCCCTCAAACTCTCACCATGGAGGCTTACAAAACCGTTTATACTGTTACTGGTGGTGACACAATTGGGGATAAAAGAGAAAAAGAGTGGGAAAGGAGAGAAGAAAAAGGGCAGGAGAACCACAGTTGAAGGAGAAACACCAACAGAAGAAGGGTATCTGGTAACAGAGGTGGAGGAAAAGGTAAAAGGAGAGGTAGACTGGCAGACAGGGATAGAACGAGAAGGAGAAAAAAAAGGAAGAGTGAGGAGAAGGAAGGAGATATACCGTTAGGGTGGGGTTGGCTGGAAATGGAGGTTCCATGGACCAGAGAAAAAAATCTGAATGAAATTACCCCTTGAAGAGATAGAGAGAAGGCAACCATATTATACACAGACCACAACTGAGGTTAAAAGAGAGAGAGAGGACATTCAGAGGAAGAGAGGGAATAGCCGTGTAACTAGGAGAAACTGAGCCAGTAGAATGGACAATATATGTATATGCAAGAGGGGACAATTATTGGAAGAAGGTAGGCAAACCAGTGCAGAGCTCCCAACCCAAGACACCAAATGAAGGAGAATGACCTCGACACCTTGTTGTGGGACCATTTGCCCCAGCCTAAGGAACCCGACTCGGAAACCGACACATCAAGAACACTTTGGGGTGAACCCCCATTGGCGAAGTAATTCTTTAGGCCCAAGTTCAAAGACAATTGGACTGAAAGGGACATATTAAACAGACCCGTTGGTCCTACTGAAGTAGTTGCTCATGGTTCACCATTATCAGTATTTACTGTTCATATATGCTTATTGTTATATGTCTGTTTAATTTACTTCTTGTGAATGGTCCAGAATAGTGCATTGCACTTAACACTGGGGATATGAAGCAAATAAATAAATAAAATAATAAATAAAATAGAGAAGACCACCATCTGTTAGATATACTTTGATTTGGATTACTGTATTGAGCAGGGAGAATTTCATGGCCTTATTGGCCCCTTCCAACTCCATTTTTCTGATTCTATGAATCAAAGTGTGTGCGTCTGCGCATGTGTGTACATGTGTGCACATTCAGACAACAGTTCATTTAAAGTTCCAATGCTAAGACATTTTCAAGAAAGGGATTTCTTCTAGCATACGTTTTGCCACCATGTTGTTGCCAGCCAAACACAAAAACAGCTGCGCGTTTGACTGTTAATGCATGGCTGCAAGCCCACAACTAGCTCCACAAAAAACAAAAAGAGGGAACTTTCAAAACTCCACAAAAGCATTCACTCTTTCTGCTTTTATTGGTAATTTCCTGCAGGAAAGACAGTTTCACAGATGGAACGTAAACACTACCAAGGTAAGTTAATGAAGTAATTACAGTACACATGAATTGTAATACATTAAACTCTCAACTGTCCAGCATACCAACATAGAATGCCTTCAAAATCCATTGTGTTCCAAAGGCAAAGTGCTGGCTGGGAAAGACCGGGATTCAAATTGCAACCGGGTACAAAAGAATTTGTACTTGGTTGAGTCTCTGTCTTTTGCCCTCCTTGATCATGATGTGCAAATAAATGTAAAAGGGTTATAAAGCATCTTATAACCTGAAATATACAAAAAGAATAATGTACAATAATGTGCCGTAGAAATAATGTATAACAAAATGGAAGACGCTGGGACGAGCCTCAGAGGATGTCTGTAAAAACCACACCCAGTTCTATGAGCAAAGAACAATGAGTTGATTGATGATAAGAGCTTACAACAAAAATGGAAGACGCTGGGACGAGCCTCAGAGATGTCTGTAAAAACCACACACCCCAGTTCTATGAGCAAAGAACGATGGGTGGATTGATGATAAGAGCTTACAACAAGGGGTTGTTCCAGCAGGGCATAAGCAACTGTTCAGAGTGGGTCTCTGGACTGGCGAAGAATGGCTCAGACAAAGTTCATGGGAATGCATGCAATCCTCTTGGAAGAAGTACCGTGAAGCTAGAACAGCATCCCTTTGTTGTTTTACCAGCCAGCTTTCCATGCTCCTAAACCCAGTATTATTTCATGCCCCTGCTTCCTGAGCTACCTTTTCACCACTAGCCGTGGAACACTACAGACTACTTGTTTTGCCTTGCAGTTTTTGAGACCAAGGATATGCTTTCTACTTTCTTCAACTGCAAGGGGGGGAGGCTATGCTTCAGGGGGACTGGGGAACTCAGGCTGACCCTGGGAACTTGTTGCAGACAGCACTCCCTCTCAAAATGTGAATATTTCTCTTGTACTTCCTCAAAGCTGAAAATGTATTTTCAACTTGTTATCAGCAGAATGATGTCTGGGCGGGTGTTTGGTGCGGGGATCAGAGAACTTCTTGGGAGTCTATGGGTCGTAGGATTCCCACCCCTGCCCCTCTGCTCTGAGTTGGCCCAATGGTCAACTTCCAGGAAGCCCCAATCCCCCATGCCCTACTGGATAAGAGAAAGCCTCAGCAGAAACAAGACCTGATGTTCTCCCCATAATCTCCCCTGATGTGACCTCATGGGTGTGCTAGTTTCTTCCCCGTCTGGGCGCTGAGCTTTTGGTTACACCTAGGCAAGTAGTCCTGCTCTTTCTGGAATGCAGCATGATCCAGACTAGCTGGGTGATGAAAGTTCTTTCGGGGGGGCACGGCTAATTTCTACTGAATTCCTACAGGGACACATTAAGAGAAGGCATCTGAAAACAGCAAGGTACTTCAGCACTATGGATGATGGTGGTTTCCATGATTGTGGCCGATGAAAGAATTGTGCGAGAAGTCTTTAGTGACTCATGCATCCTGCTGTCCCATCCCACCCTGTGAAGATGTTTGTGAGTTCAACTGGGACACAATCCACTAATACTGAGTTGTGTACGCAGCTGAATTTTCGCATGGCAACGTATCTTATTGATATTTGAAATTTCTGGCAATACTGATCATGTATCTTAGGACTCAAACACATTTCCCACACAAGCCTCTCACTGGAGACATCAGTTAATTTTCTGTTCATTTATAATTAGCATCTTCAGCAGAAGGAAAGACTCCCATCCACTTAAAAATACAGACTGATCTTAGCTGATCTACAGGATGTGAATACTCTGGTGTTTGCTCTGCTGAGAGTCATCTCCAAACCTTTTCCTACAGACAGGGCATTCATACAGACTTTCCTCTGTGTGGATTCTCTGCTTGTTTCTCTGAGAAATCTCATGGCATCTTTGAACATGGAAAGTACAGGCACATGGTTTTTCTTCTGTGTGAATTCGCTCATGTTTGTTGAGATCTGATTTGTTGGCAAAATTTTTCCCACACTCTGGACATGTGAAATCTTTCTCCCCCGAATGAGTCACTTGGTGCTTAATGAGGTTAGAGCTGCAGGCAAAAGTTTTCTCACAGGCGAGACATTTATAGGGTTTTTCTCCTGTATGGATTCTTTGGTGCTTATTCAGGCAAGATTTCACCCGGAACCTCTTCCCGCATCCCCCACATTCATAGGGCTTCTCTCCTGTGTGGATCCTGTAGTGCCCGTGCAAGTGAGATTTGATGCTGAATCTCTTACCGCAGTCTGGGCAGCCGTAAGGTTTCTCTCCTGTATGGACGCGCAAGTGGACATTGAGATTGGATTGTTGGTCAAAACGTTTCCCGCATTCAGCACACGGATACGGCTTCTCTCCGGTGTGGATCCTCTGGTGTTTAATCAAGTTTGAACGCCGGTCAAAACTTCTCCCGCACTCGGAACAGGCGTAGTTCGGTTTTGACACGGCGATTCCTATTCGAGGCCGGCTGCTTGTCATTTTAACGAAATTCCCTTTTCTGGGTGGTGGGTATCCCTGTATCAGCTCTGGCAGCAGTGCCTGTGGTCCTACAGCTTTGATCTCAATGACTTCAGATGGCTTAGGATCGCCTGTATGGATTCTCTGGTGCTTACTCAGGCAAGATTTTATACGGAACCTTTTCCCACAGTCCCCACATTCATAGGGCTTCTCTCCTGTGTGGATCCTGTAGTGTCCATGTAAATGAGATTTGATACTGAACCTCTTACCACAGTCTGGGCAGCCGTAAGGCTTCTCCCCCGTATGGACCCGCAAGTGGACATTGAGGTTAGACTGCTGGTCGAAGCATTTTCCACACTCAAAGCAGGGATACGGCTTCTCTCCAGTGTGGACCCTCTGGTGTTTGACCAGGTTTGAGCGCCGATCAAAACTCCTTCCGCATTCAGAACAGGCATAGTTTCTTTTGGACACAGTGATTCCTATTCGGCATCTGTTCCTTGTTATCTTCCTGGGAGCTCTACAGCCTTGCGTCAGTTCTGGCAAAGCGTTCTGCAGTCCTGCTGATTTGTTCTCGATAGTTTCAGACAACTTGGGATCAAAGAAAATATCCCACCATGAGGTCTCATGCAGTTGCTCAGTCACAGATTCCTCCTGAGGAGGCTTTTCCCTTATAGCCATACTTTTGGACTGGTAACCTATGGGAAGGAAGATTTAACAGAAGTTGGCTATTGTGACAGAGAGGGGATATGCACGTGGTTAGAAAAGCATGAAAGGGAAACAGGACCTTCGGTTAAGGCAGAAAAGTTCTGGTGACCGGTTCTTGGACACAAAGATGCCTCAGCCAGCAGTTAATACACGGAGGAGGCATCTAACCATAGCTCTTGCTTCTATTAGAAACCTGGTTGTCCTCCCATACTTCTCTTTCAGGTGTCAGCTTAAAATATATCAACCAGAATCTGACTGGTGTTCATGAAACATTTGAATTTACTCAGAACTTCAGGTGGAATTCTAGGAGTGGGAACTCAAAAGCAAGGAGGCTGGATCAGGTTTTGCTGCCTCCTGCTCTTTCCAGGCTGCCTTCTGCTTTGAACTCCAGTGCCCTGTGGGTGTTGCAGGGCTACCCGGAACTTGCAGGGGTTCATGGGAGGGATAGTTCTGTTGGAGGCCCTTTCTATACAGCTTAATGAGCATTGGAACTATCCCTCACCATGAACCCTTTTCTGAATCCCAGATAGCCTTGGGGCAGTTTCCTTGTTGTTCAAAGCAGAAGCTGCCCAGAAGGAGCATGGAGGTAAGAAGGGCTGCTCTGAATCCTTCTTTCAAGGTTCCTATTCCCAGCATTCTGCCGTGGGGGGGGGGGCAGGTTCTGGGCAAATTGTGAGAGTGACAGTCCTGAAAACTCAAAAGTCCCATTCCTACTAGCCAGTGCCTTGAAGCAGCTGGTCAATATATTTAGCATGTTTTTCTCAGATGACAAGCAGTCATCTTTCAATTGGTGAAAGATGGCTACTTGCAATAAAATGCACTTTTTTCTTACCTAGGTATCTTGCAATTAGCATGCTTTGTCTAGGAACTGGTCACTGGATGTTTAATTGTTGAGAAACATTTCTAAGGAAATCCTGTTGTGGGAAGGGAAATGAATTAACCATAAGAGAATGCATTCCTCTTACCATCTTGTTAAGTTTGGCTCAGTTTTGCATGTTCTTTTAACCTAAACAACATTCTCCAGCCCATTTAATGGTGCACTAAAGTTCCTTGAGCTGTAAAGGCATGGCTGAATCAGACTAAAGGCCCATCATTCTAGTCCAGCATCCCGTTTCCCATACTATCTATCATACTCCTCCAGGGCATTCCCAAGAGGCCATGAGCACAGAGAATCACAGAATAATGACATTGGGCAAGATGTGCCCCTGCCCAGATGTTGCTAGACTGCAGTTCCAATCAATTCAAACCAGATCAAGACCTACAACATCAGGAGGGCTGTATTTTGTTGTCCCCTGGGTTACTGCCCTCTGCATTATTTACACACACATCCAGTCCTCTACCCAGCAACCTATTTTCTGAGTAATATTGCCTAGGAATAGAAACATCCCCTTTTGGTACCACTGCAAACAGTTACTGTTTTTAGCCTTCCCATCTTGACACTCTCTCCAGACAGTATTGGACTCCAAGTCCCATCTATTTAAGCCTGCAAAGCCAAGCCTTCACTGTGGATTCAACTGTGGGTGGTTTCTTGACCAGCCCTTTAAAACAAAGTAAATAGTTTTTTTAAAATGCTCGTGTATCTACTGTAGCGCATCAGCGATACTCTACAGAACGTGTTTCCCCGAAAATAAGACAGGGTCTTATATTAACCCCCCCCCCCCAATACATTAGGGCTTATTTTCAGGGGATGTTTTATTTTTTTCATGTACAACCATCTACATTTATTCATATACAGTCAGGTCATCTTCTTCTGGTTGCTGCACAATGGCGGAGGGGGGGGTTTCACTTAAGTGGGGCTTATTTTGGGGCTAGGGCTTATATTACGAGCATCCTGAAAAATCATCCTAGGGCTTATTTTCAGGTTACGTCTTATTTTCAGGGAAACAGGGTACAGTCAAAAACAATTTTTTCCACTTCCTCTGCCAAGCAAGGGCAGTGTTTAATTTGCCAATATCCTGAAGTGACTCACTTATTAAGCCACTTCACCATATTGGCAAATTGAAAGAGAAAGTCTTGGTTTGGATCAGTTTCAGTGACCATATATATGCACACAGGAACCGATTCAAACCACAGCAGTCGTACCCATACCAGAGAAGTATAAGCCCCTTGACAGGGGCCAGAAAGATGTGGGGAAGAACACTCTGGAGGCAGCCGGTCCAGCCTAGCAAAGACATTATCTGATCAACAGTCTTTAAGAGCATACCCTTGCAGTGCTCCAAACAGCAGGCTGAACCGCATGTAGTCAGCCTCTGAGTCAGGTTCCTTGGAGCAGGTTTGCATTTTGATTTTAAACTTTACCAGGTTGATGAAGTCTTTTATGGACATGCGGTAACTAAAATGATGTACAGTATTATTGAACTGGACCCACCATGGGTTTTATTCTAGGGGATTTTTATACTATACGTTGAATGTTAGACACTTTCCTAACAATCCCCCATTTGGAACATCCCAACTTTGTTACCATGATGTGCTAATGAGAGCTGCTAGTCAATGGGCTACAGGAGGATCTAGCTTCCCCTCCCCTAAATAGCAATCATGTGCCATAA